CCATAAACTGTGTATACCAACCATAAACTGTGTACACCAACCATAAACTGTGTACACCAACCATAAACTGTGTACACCAACCATAAACTGTGTATACCAACCATAAACTGTGTACACCAACCATAAACTGTGTACACCAACCATAAACTGTGTACATCAACCATAAACTGTGTACACCAACCATAAACTGTGTACACCAACCATAAACTGTGTATACCAACCATAAACTGTGTACACCAACCATAAACTGTGTACACCAACCATAAACCTTTGTAGGTGTACACAGTTTATGGTTTGTGCACACCTACAATAAACTGTGTACATCTTCTATAAACGGTGTGAAGCTACAGTCCCGTTCCAATATAGTTCATCACAGGCAGCGCTAATTGGCCGATCAATTTTATGGTAGAACTTTCAATTTCAGATCTGTCTCTCAAATTACTTTTCGGCCTCTGCATTCTGATTGGTTATCACGTCAATAGGGAATTCATGTTACCCGTCCTTACTTTATTCACAAAGAATTCACATAATCTTGTTCTCATTTGACGTCATGCTGGCCCTCTATACTGGCATTAAAATATTTCCGACAATGAAAAAAAAACACAGATAATCACAGTTGTAATTTTGTTTTCCACCATGAATAATATTACACCTCAACTTATATGTAAATTTATTACGTATGTGCGTGAAGAACTCTGATAAAGCTTCCACAATACAGTAACTGTGAAATAGAATACAGGCAATGCGAATACGCATTTAAAAACACTTCAAACCGTCTCACCAATTCAAGAGAAACCACGGGCAATTGGTTGTATGTATTTTACTGATGTACCAATATTGCATGTCATTAGTTTAACAACCTGCATAGTTCACTCCCTTAGGAGTCTACCACTTAAAATCACAGGGGGTGGCGGCTGGAAGTTTTGTTGCCAAAATGCAAGCAAGACAATGAGTAAACAAAAAATGCATACAAGGTGTGGCAGGGACAAAATGATGCGCTAAAAAATGAAATGTACAAGGCACCGCGAAAAAATGCTCACTCTTCCAGGGACCCTTATGATTCCAAATGGCTGACCGTGGGAATTCATAACTCAGCCAATCAGAAATCTCATAAATATATTTACTTAATAATACAAATAATCAATTTTAAACATGGTGCACGGGACCCATATCGAATGTCCCAAATTTAACACCACAGGTTCACGTATCTTCCTAAAGCCTGCAAGACATGCCGCCACCAACTATGATAGTTTCTCCACTGATGTAGGAAGAATCATCGGAACACAGAAATGAAACGACGCCGGCACATTCAGATGACTGTCCCAATCTGGAAGTAAAGTATATAGACTTCAGTCAGCAAAACTCGATACCATAACGTATAATTTAGTTGGATTTTTAGCTACCAGTGGTTCTGTTAAACTAATCGTCAATCAATACAAGTTTTCTATAAATGAGAAAGCGTTTCTGTGTTGTGGAAATGGCGTCAACCAATGTCGTTCACTTGCACACTGATTCTGCGCAAACGTTCATTGCACGCACATTAAACGTCACTTTCATTATATACATGGATGACCAATATAGCGATATCAATATACTTGTTGAAGCTTATGTGTTACGTCCCAACCCAATTTCCATAATACTGAATAATTTCCATTTTAACATTGTTTCGTATGGACTGGAGAATTTGCTCAGTAAGATAGTGACGTAAGATGGTATTTGTTGTGACACAAAGTGTTCGCATTATAGTTTGCTGTTGAAAGTTATTTTACAGTTTTTCAAAAAACAAACAAACAGAATCTTACAAGGAACACAACAAATCTACATTTATTTTTCATTTTTTTATCAGCCAGACTATCCCGAGCATGCCAATTGAGTTTTTGTGTATAATGACAATGGAAACCACCTACCTTTTCATTGGAATTAACGCCATGGCATTTTTATTTGCAAAGGAGTTTTTCCAAATCTGAATTATCAAGAAAATTAAAGAAAGCTTAGAAAGAACTATTGGAGTATTGAGAGTATTCGAGGCATATTAAAAATGAATTCTAAATTTAAGATTCATCTTGCAAACAAGAAGCTTGGCAATTAATATGCCCAACATGAACATGTGAACATTGTTGAATGTTATAATACTCATAGAAATGGATATCATTGTACATCTGTGGTTCGCATTTAAATTTTTACTTGAGATCAGAAATTGGCTAATACAAATCAGGTAGTCATTATGTATGGTAAGGGTTAAACTGAAATGCAGTAATTGTTTTTTTGAGATATAGGTAGAAATTACTATGCAAATTAGGTGATTGTTATGCAAGGAGTTCAACCCAAAACTACTAGTAATAAGGTATATGCATTGTCCCAAAGCACACGGGTTCCAAATTTCATTAGAATGTAATGATTAATTCTTAAAAATCGACGGAAAGCTAAAACGTAAAGTATTATGCAAATTAAATAATTATTATAAATGTATTTAAACCCAAAACTTGTTATCTCACAGTATTTATGTACCAAAGTTCATTGAAATAAAATGATTAATGCTTGAGATAATTGTCATGAATTTGTTTTTGTGTATCTGTTAATCGACTTAATTAGTTGATTATTAGCGAATTGCTGTGTTATGTCTGTCATCGTTTAGGCCTATTTGAAGTTTTGGACGAAACTTGGCTCAGTGATTTGGAACTAATTACCAAATAACCGCCGCTTTTCAGACTACTCATTCTGACAGTTTATATCCGTAGTTATTAATGTAGTGAACGATTAATCAAAAGATATGGCGTATTCAGTACTTAGTGTGATTGGCTTTATGATTGAAGGTTACGCCCTAGAGTCTTTTTACTGTTTTGTAATTGGTTAGAGTTTTGAAAATGAATAAAGAGAGTTTGAGTTGGTCTTGACGAGTACACCACGATAGACGCAGTCGAGGGCAGTCCTGGAGAGACTTGGGGCGAGCCTTGACGCAGTCTAAAAGAGTCTTGGGTCAGCCTTGCGATAGTCTTGGGGATTTTTCCCCAGGGCGCCGTGTCTTATAGAGTGCTTGATTGACCGACTAAGACGAGAGCTAAAACGTATTTCGTTGTGTGTGCCTTATTTGACTGTAAAGTTAAAGTGACTTTCCCGATCCTGTACCTCAAGGGGACGCGATAGAGAGACAAGACGAGATTCCCCCCTGACAAGTGTGGAGAACCCCGAGGAGAAGAATTTCCCCCTTGATACGTGGTGGAGAATCCGGGCAGGTGTTTAACACACATTGACATCCTGTGAAGAAAAGTGAAATGGCGAAGATGTGTCTTTCTTGTGAACCGAACTAACAGCTCCATGGCAGAGACGAAACCGCGCTTGACGACTAACACCGTTAGCAGTATGGCACCGATGTACAACGTTGAAGAGATGAAGATTTCAGAACCCCTTCGGAAGGATGAGTATCGTTTAGGACTGTATAATTAAGAATTGAGCGACATTAAAGACAAGAAGATAAAGAACGACCCGGACTAATGTGACGAAAGAAGAAGACGCTATATAGACTTTGAATTAGAACTTTAGCTATCTGTGTATTGCTTAGAGAACCGCTCATTGGACACTGTAACTGACACTGTGTAACTCAGGACGTTGAACTCTTTTTCACAATCCCAACACTATTGCTCAGTAATGTAATGTATTGCTTGCTTTTTCTATCGTTTTTTCTTACCGTTTTTTTGTGATGTTGAATTGTATGTACGTGAGTGCCCAGATTTGTGTTTTGAACTGATATTTAGTGACGTTCGAGGTCCTTTATAACGATTTAAGCGCGCCTCAGTGGACAAGTATTTGCAACACAGTGTTATGAGTTTTGTGAAGTTTTATGGAGTTTTAATACGGATTATGATGGGGAAAGTAATGCCCCAATGAGTTTTTAAGAGTTTTGAGATTTGTCGATGTACAGAGATATCGACGTTTTAAGAGTTGTTTTTGTTTATGTGTTGTTTCCGGAATACTTCTGATGCTTTTTTGAGTTGATAGCACCTTTGTAACGTTTTTAATGTCTTTTTGAGATGAGAGTTTGGTGCGCCTATATACGTATTGTTTGATATCGCAAGCTTTTGTTCATGATTGACAGGATTATATGTAACTCAGTAGTGTATATCGTTTTAGCCTTTTTCCGTCTTTTTGCCAGGGGAGTAATGTATTATGAAAGCGAATTTGTCTTTGCATTCTGTTTCCACGCCGTATGACTTTTGTTTAGATTAACGACTTGTGAGTTCAGTTGAAGTTTATAAGCGTATATGACAGGAGTTTGATTAATAGCTTTTTATTCATTGTTTATTAGTTACCGCTTTGCAATGCTTTAACCGAGAGACGCATCCCTGGTAATCACGTGATCATGCTGTCGACTGCAGCGATTGGCTGATCGCTTGGTTACACCGCCACGCCTTAGTTTTTTTTGACCTTTTGATATAGAGTTTGTAACCTTAGTAACGGAGACAGTGCAGCGAAGGGTTACCTCAGCGGAACTGTTTGAGAAAAGTGAGTCGATTGGTAGCCTTTCCCTTGTTTTTGATTTATAACCGTTGATATTTGAGACTTTATAACCATTGATTTAGACTTTATAATCAGTTTATTAATTAGTGTGTTTTACTCTTTTTGATTTATACCTTTTATTAGTATTGTATTTAATCCTATGACGATGAGTGGCTGGCGGTATCTTTGATTTGTGAACGTGTTATGCCAGGAGGCACAATCTCAGTTTGGGTGAAGGGATGTGTCATGAATTTGTTTTTGCGTATCTGTTAACTGACTTAATTAGCTGATTATTAGCTGAATTGCTGTGTTATGTCTGTCATCGTTTAGACCTATTTGAAGTTTTGGACGGAACTTGGCTCAGTGATTTGGAACTAATTACCAAATAACCGCCGCTTTTCAGACTACTCATTCTGACAGTTTATATCCGTAGTTATTAATGTAGTGAACGATTAATCAAAAGATATGACGTATTCAGTACTTAGTGTGATTGGCTTTATGATTGAAGGTTACGCCCTAGAGTCTTTTTACTGTTTTGTAATTGGTTAGAGTTTTGATAATGAATAAAGAGAGTTTGAGTTGGTCTTGACGAGTACACCACGATAGACACAGTCGAGGGCAGTCCTGGAGAGACTTGGGGCGAGCCTTGACGCAGTCTAAAGAGTCTTGGGTCAGCCTTGCGATAGTCTTGGGGATTT